AGCCCAAATGTTGCAGGACATGAATGTTTTAAACTGAGTGTGATACATTAATCATCTACTAAACTCAAAGCACCTGCACAGGTTTCCCCAGGTGTCATTAAATTGCTTCAGTTCAGTTCAATATGGAGAAGACTGCAGACATGACAGCTGGCCAGTAGACCGTCATTGATACCTCCATAGGATGGGTAAGCCACAAAAGTTCATAGCCAAGGAGGCTGGCTGTTTACAGAGTGCTGTGTCCAAACATATCAATGGAAAGTCTAGTGGAAGGGCAAAATGTAACAGGAGAAGATGCAGCAGCAAAAGAGATGACCGTGGGCTTCATCAAATTATCAAACAGAGAAGATTCCAGAATCTGTCAGAGATCCAGAAAGAGTGGAATGAGGCGCGAGTCACAGCTTCAAAAACCACCACATTCAGACGCATCCAGGAGATGGACTACAACTGTTGGGTTCCTCAGTCCTCTTTTCCGATTAAAGTAAAGTGTGTCTTTTATTGGGAAATCAAGGTCAAAGTGTTTGGAGGAAGAAGGGTGAGGAACAGAATCCATACTGCTTGAGGTCCAGTGTGAAATATCCAGTCAGTCATGATTTGGGGTGCAATGTCCGGTGCAGGTGTTGGTAAACTCTGCTTTCTTAAATCCAAGGTTACTGCAACAGTCTACCAGAATGTTTTAGAGGACTTCATGATTCCTTCTGGTGAGGATCTGTATGGAGATGCAGATTTCATCTTCCAGCAGGACCTGGCCCCTGACCATGCCACCAGAAGCACCAGAACCTGGTTTGATGCCCATGCCACAGTGCTTGACAGGCCAGCCAACTGGCTGGACCTAAACCTCATTGAGAATCTATGGGTTATTCTCAAGAGGAACATGAGGGGCACCAGACCCAACAACAAAGAAGAGCTGACAGCATCAAGGAAATCTGGGCTTCCATAACTCCCAGTCAATGCCACAGGCTGATTGCCCCAATGCCACGTCACATCGAGGCAGTGATTACGGCAAAGGGATTCCCAACCAAGTATTGAAGACTGACATAATTTTGAAAGAACCATATTTTGATTGATTTGTTGTGATCCTAATTTATTTCTTTTTTTTCTGCTAAAACTGAGAAGTGTGGGCTGATGTCTTCACAGTATTCCAATTTTTTGAAATCCTGTTTTCGTGGGTTTTATGAGCTAGAAGCCCAAATTATGTAAAAATAAACAAATAAATACTTGAAATTGTTATAATTGTGGGCCTTGAATCTATCATATATTAAAGATGAACTTTTTGAATGGAATTATGGAAGTTAAACAACTTTTCCATGATATTCTAATTCTTTGGAAAGGTTCTGTGTAGTAAAAAACAAGTTGATATGTTAAAAAAAAAAAGTTAAAAAAAACAAAACAAAACAAGAAAACTGTTTAAAAAATACAAAATATACAAATGGCAAAAAACGTTAAGGACCATTGTGTAAAATAAATAAATAAATAAAATACCGGGAACTAAAAACAGTTTTGTGATGAGAACTTCAGCCGATCAGACGAGTAGATTAATGAAATTGCCTTCACAAAGTTCAACACAAACCTTTTTTTAACACACATAATGTCCTCTCACACACACACACAAAGATATTTCCCATGTGGGTCATGCCCAGTCTGGCCTCAGTGGTTAAGCTCCGCCCCTTCTCCTTCCTCAGCCCTAATCAGATTGTTTTCAACTGGACTCATGGGGTCTGCAGCCCATCTCTGCACAGTTTGTCCTTTATTCACTCAGGATGTTTTCCTCATTCCAGCTAAAACCACGTTGGTCTCTTAAACATTAACTTTTTTTGTTGTTTCTTGTTTTTGTCACAACTTATTACTGAATAATGAGGAGACACTGCCTTTCTGTGGACAACAGAAATGACCTGTTTGATTTATCTGGCTGTGTTCACCCAGTGTGCCGATTCGCCTGCCACAGGAAGTGCTGCCAGAGGACAAGCACCAAATGCAGCAAGATGGTGAGTCGGCCATGTTGAGTAGCCTCACAGCGACGTCCCATGACATTAATTGTCATGTTGGTAGCTGCCAAAATTGTAATTTTCAGCTATTTGAATATTTGAATGCACTTTTTTTGGTTTGTTTTTCATCCTGGAGCAGTTTGATCTAGAGCTCTCCTCCAGGCAGTTCGGAGTGGAGGTCTCTCGCCTAACCAACGATGAGAGGACCGTTCCCCTGGTCGTGGAGAAGCTGATCAACTACATTGAGATGCACGGCCTTTACACGGAAGGAATTTACAGAAAATCTGGATCCACAAACAAAATTAAGGAGCTCAAGCTGGCGCTGGACACGGGTACGTTTTGCCACCTGACACTCAGGTCTTTAACATGAATGGGAGCAGCTTTGTTTAATTTTCATGCTCCTGTTTCCATACAGATGTGGAAAACATGAATTTGGACGACTACAACATCCACGTTATTGCCAGTGTTTTCAAGCAGTGGTTGAGGGACCTGCCGAATCCTCTGATGACCTTTGAGCTATATGAGGAGTTTGTACGTGCTATGGGTGAGTGGTCCTCATCAGGTATCAACACATGAACATTTCAAAGTCTTTTAGTTGTGTTTCAGTGGAGATTCTGTCCACATTTCTAATTTAATACTCCAGACTATGTATTTGATTTGCTGAAGCGGTAAATGTTGATTTGTCTTCTGTGGTACTTTAGGTTTGCAGGATAAGAAGGAGACGATTAGAGGAGTTTATTCTGTCATCGACCAGCTCAGCAGAACTCACCTAAATACTCTGGAACGCCTCATGTTTCATCTTGTCAGGTAATAAAATTTTAGTTTTAGTTTAGGAATAAAAGATGAAACCAGGGAAGTCTGATCAGAATTTCTTTCTGCCTAGTTTGAGTCATTCAAACCTGAATGTCTACTGGTACTGAGTCTTAATTTTAAACGTGCATTCATTAAATTGATCAAATCATTGACTATATTTTTGTGATGCTGCGTGGGAAGAAGAGTTTCTCGTGCTCAAATGTGCAAAGCAGTCCATGCTACAAACCCCTGATTCAAAATTACATTTTAAATACTTCTTACATGATCCTGCAGAATGACTAAGGGCAGGCTGTCAAGTCCTCATGCATTTTACATTTGCTTGATTGCCTCTACGCACTCTGCTGCATGACATTTACAAAACAGCATCAAAGGACACTTTCCCTGAAATGAGGACTTCATGCAGTTCACAGTGCTAAACGACGACACTGACCAAATATTGTCACAGAGCCACTAGCTGTAACATCAGATCAGATTATTTGTAGACGATGAAATACACCTGTACACCTCACGTAAGGGACTGAGCTGTTGTTGACGATGGGTCGTCAGTTCACGAGTTCTTTGACGGCTGATGAGTCCATTTCAGAATAAAAGCATCCTCATCGTTCAGGAGACAGAGCAGTATGGTGGAGAATAGCTTGGTGTTGCCTATTGAGGCCTGTCTGCTGGTGTTTAACTTTTTACGCACTCGGAGCACTACTGAAAGCCGTTGACATCACTCTTCTCCTAGGTTATTGAGATGCCATAGTTCTTAAGACTGGATTCAAGAACGTTTTTGTACCTCTTGTACTGTCCACCTTGTCTTTGGTAGCTTTCTGTTATCTTGTTGTGAACCAGAGCCTTTGGGATTTGACCATTCTGACCAAGTGCCCTTCGTCCCAACATGGCTGACCTTTCACAAGGCAGAGTTCTGTGCTGTCAGTCCTGTAGAGCTCCAGAACGGCAAAGTTGTGTGTCCATCCATGAGATGCCACAAATGTTGCAAAGATACTTACGATGCAATTGGTTTGTTGTTTTATGTGACACAGTTCGTATACCTTGGTTTCACTTCCATAGAGACGTGTTGGGAGCATGATGGATCCATACACTGTTTATGTGCTGAGATCTAGTTCTCTGTCAGACCAAGACCTGGATTTGTCAGTTCCACCATTCTGGGACAGAAACCAACTAAGACATCAGACCTTGGACACTGTTCTTAGCTGCTTGTCACCAGCGGTCCTGACTGAGTCTGGAGGTATGGGGCCAAGTCTGAGTTCAACCATGACCTCTGTCTTTGTTATGCTGATTAGAAGACCATCATCCTTGATGGTCTGTAAGTTCGGGATGCATCAGGAGGACACAGATGTTTGTAAAGTGAAGCTCTCAACATGAGCGAGACTCTGCGTCTTAATGTTGGTCAACGCAAATTAAATATGCCACTGTCTTTCTGACAACAAATCATTCAACCTCTACTGCAGTCCTCAGAGATGTCCTTGCTTAGCCATGGCACACTTGGATTGGTCCCATTAGTGACTGGGAATTCTTCTGATGTGTTTCGGTGACATCACTTTTGTTTTCATGCCGTCGTGAAAAGAACAAATGACGGAGGACTTTTAGTGGCCAGCCAAACTTCTGCGATCTTCATGACTGACTAAGTGAAAGACTTTTGTAAGATCTACAAAGAACACAAACAAATTGAAGTTTTACTCTTTGCATTTCTCCCTGACCTGTCCAGAAGAAAAGACCCGGCCGTCCCTCTTCCTCTGTGCTGTGTCAGATTTATAATGTTGAGGAAATGACATTGTAGTGTTAATTGGGTAAAAAAAAAAAAAAAAAAAAGGAACCAAAAACACCAAAGTTCATTCTCAATAATCCAGGTAAAAAAAATCCAACAAAGTTAAGTCAGGTCCTCTGGACAGTTTCTTTTTGTTGAAACCTGGATTTTCTACCTGGATTATTGAGCGTGAACTTTGATGTTTTGAACCACTTTGGCCATGGCTGCCTCAGAGGAGTTGACGGGGGAGAGGGTGGGCCTCAGGAACCATCTTATCACCAGCAAACTGGTTGGTCCACTATGTGAGTGTGCTAATTATGGGACTGAGTTTGTTGTGGCTCCTCAGACTGATGAAGTTCTTTGGATGAAAGATGAAACGTTTCAACACAAAAGAAACCATCCAGAGGACCTGACTTAACTTTTTTGGAACAAAAACCACACTTTTCTGCTTTTAATGAGCTCTACAGTCATGTCTAAAACAAAATCTTGGGTGTGTCATTAAATTGGTAGAAGGGAATAAAGCTTTTTCACAAAAATATTTTACCCAATTTACATCAGTGTTGATGTAAAACAAATCAGGAGCTAACTGCACTCAGTCACATCCTGCTCAATTAAAAATGATCTGGATTATAATCCCAATCCATTACAGGAGATCAGAGTTGTTTGAAGTTGCAGATTTTCTGTCCTGATCGACCAGTCTAACATTAAACAAATTCCTTTAGGATCGCCTTGCAAGAAGAGACGAACCGCATGTCAGCTAATGCCTTGGCTATAGTGTTTGCTCCCTGCATCCTCCGCTGCCCTGACACCACTGACCCTCTGCAGAGCATCCAGGACATCAACAAGACAACAGCGTAAGGCCACAAAGCACACGCTTCCTGTTTTGTAATCAAACTATTTATTTGTCTGAGGTAATGAAACTCGTTGGGGGAGGGGGGTATTTCACTGGGAACATGCATGACCAAGAAAAAAAAACCAGACCAAATATTCAATTAAATGAATCTGTTTCACGTGAGAATAATACGCTGCCAATCTGGCCTAACAAGATCATCAGACATGAAGAAAAACAAACTGAGGGAAGAGAAAACGGGAATTCAGTGATAGCAGAACAGACTTGTGTGGCATTTAAATGCTCATAAAACAAATGTTCTTAAATCTGTAAATTATCTTTAACTTGCTTGGCTCTGATGCAAGTTTCTCCCACTGAGGGAGGTTAAATTGGTAACATACACAAATTTAGGCTAAAAGCAACTAGCTTGAGGATTATTGTTTAATAAGAGCATAGTTTCTGTAACTAACAATGTAAATGTGATTCTGCTCAAGTTCTGCTGAAGGGACAGTAGTACCTCGGTACTTAGTGGTTCCTCTTTCGCGGGTTTTCAGTGCAAGATTGTATACGACACACTATTGGCTGATTGATGGAAGGCGACCAACCAGAGCATTGTGCTGAGGAGTGGACTGGCCATTGGGAGCACCAGGACATTTCCCGGTGGCCTGGCCCGCTCGCTGATCACCAAGGGGGACTAAAGGCTCAGTTTGGATCACGCTTGATTATTTTAAATAAATAATCCATGCCGCTCATGCGGCTCACTCAGGTATAAGACGGAAAAAGAAAGGAGGGGGTGGGGGTTGTCTAAGGCTGTTGGAAAAAGACAGATTTCCCGGGACAGGCCAGGAAATTTTGCTGTGCTCATTTAGAGTTTAGAGCATTGTTAAGGACATTACAAGAGTGTGGGAAGGGTTTATACAGCTTTATATATATATATATATATATATATATATATATATATATATATATAT